ATTATGAGTTGACATCATTAAACTATTGTTTGCTTCTGAGCTCAACGGCTAGAAAATACTATCCTTCTAGACAGCGTCTCACCCTACCTGTTCAACCTGGGTCAAAAGAGAGGCCAACTGTTCTTCACTACAAGAAGAGTCTCAATGAATATACTAATGGGAGCACAAGTGAGTTAACCGTACAGAGGCTTCAGTTGTTGCAGTATATTTGAAGTGAAAGTTCATCAAATCTTAACTCATAATTCTATTGAGTAATACCACAACATTTCCACGGTAAATCATTTGTATTTCTGGAACTGTGTCATCTTCCTAATCTTTCATGTATCTATGCGGAGTCTATAACCTCAATTACTTTGCAGGAGCTGGTCGTCCTGCTTGACCACCACGTTCGTTGGCACACGTCTTCTACATGGTAGCGACCACCAAAAACTCAGTTCCTGTCCGCTACAGTTTTACAAGAAGATTCGAATGCACTGATTTCTGGAAATAGTATCGACGGAATGTATATAAAGAAGAAAACAGCATTTGATCTTTGCATATGTAACAGTTAGCGATAAAAATCATGCTGTTATAACATATTTTAGTAGTTTATTAGTTATGAACAACATATTTGTATCATTTCATGTTTTCCCTTCTACCAAACTTTGCGATTTATTTTGTATTTACTTCGACACCAATACATAATCAATTGTATTGAAAAAATTTGTCGAATACGAACATATGACACTACCATTTCCATCTCTTTATTTCGCTACTCAATAGGTCCTTTTGTATTATAAGTATACGCTATGACAAGTTTGTTGCAAAGTCAGTAATTACTATTTCGTTAGTTAGGCGTCATTCTGATAATAGTTAAACTGATCCGACTTATATACGTTATGTTATGAATATTTGAACGTGTAAACCTAACCAGCACTTCATTTTCACAATTATAATTAACTTACTGTTGTACTCTACGTAAAAGCAATCAAATAATAAACTGAAGATTTCGTTATGCTTATAGTCAAATTTTTAGCCTCTTTAGCCTTATCGTTTGGCTTTTTCAGTTTTGCTTATACCTGTTCAATTAATTGTTATCCTTACAGTTTTCTTTTTCAGATTTTTGAATATGCAGTTGTTTCTGTTACCATATTTCTCACACGTTTTCCCACTCCCATCAACAATCCTCATGTTCCTCCCCACTACTTCACATCTCCCTTCACAAATCATCCACAATGCCCCACTATAACCACTTCCCCACTACACTAATCACATCATATTATAAAATAACTTCATAAATGAGGCGTTAAAACAAGAATAGGTGAAAGAAGAGTATTACGTAACAAGTATTTCTGCAAAATCAGTATAGCCTCAAGTCGTAAAATTTTCGCACAATAACAAAGGTATGAAGTTTAATGCACTGTTTGCACATTTACGATTTACATAATTTCTGTTTACGTAATCAGTATAGCCTCAATATTTTGATTCACTAGCTACCCATGAATAGATGTTGCTGCCCAAAGTGCTATCCAAAATAGTTTGTACTACAGTAACACCTGTACATTTTATATTATACATCACATTGAATACAAGATCAAGTTTATATTTTGCTGCTAAAAATATCTCCCTTTTTTGAGTTTACTTAACATTTTGATTTTACGTAGTGAATACAAGATCAAGTTCAGTTTCTGCTACTGCAACGATCCTTCCCTTTGCTTGATTTAATATATTCAGATGTTGATTTAACTGGAAATCTAGAGTACTTGGTTAAAATTAAGAAATTTAATCTGCCTTGACTAAAATAGTGAATGTCGAATTTCTTTTAACAAATTCAACTCTTTTATTTAATACTCAAACATCCAAACACACCACCCCAATTATATCACTTATGGTTACTGTTTTTAATTGAAATATAGGATAGAATCATGGACATGAATATACTATATTTTATGTGAATGGGATAATTTATTATGTAAAACTGTAATTGTGTTGTCATCTTATTAGTAAACTGACTTAAATTACGCTGCGTACCTAAATCCTCATATCGTAATTTAGCATAATGTGGTGTCTGTTTTTACCTTAGTCGTTACATGGCTAGAATTGCTGAAAGTTATAAAGTTTTTACACTTCCTTTTAATTTTCAAAAATACAGAATTTTTCTCGCAAATTCTTCTCATCTCCTTTAACATTCGAAAAAATTACCACAAAGTTATTTCTATTTTTTTTTGGCGGTCGATGGTCAACCAAGGAAGCTTTATATCCAGTACACATGTTTGTCCTTCATTCACTTTGACAATTTCTTTTAAAATAGTTGTATAAATCCATCATTATTTTCAAATAATATGCATGTCCTATATTATCACAAGGATATGTTGTAGCGATTCTTATTGTTTAATTGGTCTTATTTCAGATATGGCTAAACAAGGACACAATCAAATTAATCCAACTACGAGTTCTCAAATTCAACAAAGGGGACAACGTAGAAGGTTTCGCCGTCGCAGCATTTATTCCTATAATAAATCAGACTCAAGGCTGAAGTTATCAGGAAAATCCCAACGGCGATACAAAATAAGTTAAGAGATCGAAGGGCTAAAAGAAGGGAAAGAGAAAAAAAATTTAGAGAGCTTAGGCCTTCATTAGACGAACAAATTAGAAATTATCAAATTACTCGAGATGAACTAATTGATTCTATAGACAAAATTATACTATCTGATTGGGAAGCTTTAGTAATTTTAGTAGATTCACTTGGTCAACCGTTAGGTACAATTTTAACTGACATTTATCACGAGGTTTGGCCAAGTGAACCTTTTTGGGTTTATGTTGTTAAATTTGAAGCTGAGTGGGAGAACCGTCTGTACAACTACCTTTAAATTTACAATGAATGAAAGTTTGTTATTTGTTTGCAACATTATCTGTCATTTTACTCTATTTGTTTCTTAAGACTATAACATAAAATACAAAACATAATGGAATAACACTAAATTCTTCCTTTAAATAAGGCAAGTTTAACAAGATACCCAATGTCTTAAATAAGAAAAAACATGAATAAAAACATTACTTTACGCTCTTTAGTTCATTATATATAATTCTCATGTATAGTAATACTTTACAATCTGTTTTGCCTATTTTCAAATCAAATATTTATGAGGAATATATTTTTATTTACGTAGTTACAAATATTAATTCATCCAAAATATACTTGCACTACAGTATACCTTTATAAATTAAAATATTAACTTAACTTAAGTTCCTTTCGATAAGTAAAATTAAACATAGATATTTATATTATTCATACGAAGCAATGGTTTCGGAAGTAACATACAAGAATAATTTGTACACGACTTGATTTTCGTCCCATGGCGTATACAACTTCGAGTATAAAGTTTTACAAGACGGTCTCCTACAGAGGTTTTTATGTATATATCAATTTGCCATGGTAGATTATAAACATTAACAGTATTTGGAATCACTATAATAGGTATTCCCATCCTTTATGCAATTTTCTTACTGTGGTTGAAGGTGGATCCATTCTCTTCTCTTACTTCATATGATAATAAACTACATCTTACTACTGTATTGCGATGAATTATGAGTAAAATTGAAAGGTATCACCTACAAAATATATTTAAAAAAACCAGCAGCTATTGTTCAGAATCCATATCACACAACACCTATAGGTAGAGTTGAGCATTCACCAATTACAAAAACTCCTAACATTACAACATATGCGTTAAAATAGTTTCATGATGGTAGGTGCATGCTAATCTCCAATTAAAAAAAAAATTAACCATTTCTTACAAAGACCATCTTCTTGGAAACGATATATTCTGTCGTACAATCCACATTTTTTGCAATAAAAACAACAATTGTTCCATCAATGTGGAAGGCATGCACCTTATAATTCAATGTTGGAATGAATGTAGATACAACCACAGTCTTACATAACAACATTTGCGAGGGACAGTAAAAGTACTATCTGATATTTCTCTGTTGCTCAGACCATTTGTTTTTTTCTTTACTGCTCTTCGTTGATACTCTATAAAAAAATACAGCTAATACATCAATTATCAAAGATAAATACTTTATCTATCTGTCAAGTTGCTTCATTTCATCGATGAACATAAATAAGGTAAACAATGAAATGCTATTTAATATGACTTCATGCGTTATAAATTATACTCAAAATTTTGATGTTTGACTTTATAATTTTCGTTATAGGTGTTGGAGATCACCATACGTCTGAACTAGCTTCACAGGTTTTGGAAAGTTTCTTCAAATACTACTGTCATGCACTTCATTCATACGTAGCCACCTATATTACTCTCAACAAAATTCATCTATTTATTTTTAATTTTACTCCTTTTGTATTCGATCGCTAATTCTAATTTGCAATATACATATTTTTATTATCTCTGTACACTCTTCTTTTCTTATAATTTATCCGCGCATCGCGCGGGTACTATACTAGTTAGATTATAATAGCAAAGAACTAGACTAAAAATATAAATGACTAATATGTACCATAAAATTTTAGAAACTTTATATAAAAACATACATATATAGGTGTAATAATAAATTTAAATAGCTACTTCTATAGTTGGTATGGTTCGGTTTTTTTCAGTTATTTTTTTGATTAAAACCAAAACCAAACCAAATTTGATCGTTTAAAATTCAAAACCAAAACCAAACCAAACCTAAAAAGTATCGGTTTTTCTAGTCCGTTTGGTTCGATTTTCGGTTTGGATCGATTTTTCGAATTTTTATGAACACCCCTAGCTAGAATTATATTCTTCAAACTACAAAAATTTGAAAAATAGGTCATAAATTGCATTTTTGTGCCCTCATTTTGTTAATTTAAGAGACATATTCCTATCATACGTAGTTCTTTTTGTCCTTTCATATATAATTTAATAAAAAACTAAAAAGAAAAGGAGAAAGAGTTTACCTCTGCAGAATGTTCAGAAATGTTAGAGAGTATTTTTCGGTAGCCCTCCTTATTTTTCCGAACCCGTTTGCCTTTTAATTTCTTCCTGTGGTGCAATTCCCTCCACATTAAAATTGAAAGAATAGATGGAAAAATATTAGAGAAATAAAAATAAAGCATCTTAATTAATGATGGCAAAAAAAGAAAAAAGAGAAAAAACAAACACAGAAGAGCTAGTCTATAAATCCATCTTTACTCCAAGTAGAAATATGGTGTCAAAAGCCTTTTTTTAAAGCTAAATCTAGCATAAATTAATTAACATTTTAGAACAATGATAGCCATTTTAATGATCACAAATGCATTTATGACATAATTTAATTTATGAGAAAGAATTCTAGTGAGCAATTATTTAATTTATTAAGAAAGCAAAAGAAAAACTTAAGCACTATGATTATCGACTTAAACTTTGGAGTATGGGTTTCAAATGTTGGAAAATAAAAAATAAAAAATAAAAAAGAAAGAAAGAAAGATATTTTGTAAGGGCCAAAGTCAAAATTATATTGATTACTATACGACCCTTGGCGGAAAGGAAATATCTAATAAATTTTAGTCATGCTTAGTGTAATCCCTCGCTTATATCATGGGAAAAGCAAAAGCAATGAAATAAACAAAAGAATATGACCAATTACCTATGTTTGCTCTTT